TGTGCAAAGTCCAGATATATATGAAACAAAATCAATATTTGCTTTCAGTGTAAAGTTAAAAGGTTCATTTCTGCATCGTAAATTAACAAATATAGCTTGTTGGAGGAAGTCAGGGACGTGTGATGGCATGTTCAATTCATGCTTTCAGCTCCACCCAGTGATTTCAGAGCCAAATAATCCAAAGGAGAAATGTAAATTTGGGTCAAATCACTGACTTGTATAATTTCAATAGTCCTATCAGCTGTCAGGTAGCTAGGCCAGCTGAAGACACTTAGTTAAGTGTCTTCAAATGTCAGACACACATACAGACAATAATGCATTTCAAATAGTGGCATTCTGATCTGGGTGAAATGCTCTGTCAACAGTGTCTGGACAACAGGACTGTGCACTCCACTGTGAAAGTCCAAAAAAAAACAAACCCCCCTTATACCAAGAGGACTTCAGTGGTAAAAACTGTCTGCTATTAAAAATAAGAACTAGAACCTCCCTCCAGCTTCCATCACAAACAGACACGTAAATGACTCAATCCTCTCACTAAAAACAAGGTCAAAAACCGTGGGGCAGCACATGGGGCTGCTGTGACCATGGCATGAGTCTCTTACTGGGAATGATGTGTCCAACACCCTGCAAAAGGCAGCATTTCCAGTTAAAAAGTGCCCAAAGCAAGGCTTTGCACCTGCAGCTTGTGCCTCAGCCTGCATCCCCAGGAAAGTGAGATTATGCACTCCCCCCATCCAGTTCCAGCCTAAAGACACAGCAGACAGCAGAGAAAAAATATGTATTAGAGACTGACCCTGTGTCACTGTGGAACTACAGGGCACTTTCAGCACAGAAACTTACACCAGGGAAACCATCTCTGATATTAACTTAATACTGAAATCCTGAAAATAATAATGAACCATAAGCAAAAGGCAGTGACAAGAAACAAATCAGTTTAAACACCAGGAGAGATGAGAGGAGATAATCTTAAAGATCTCAATCATCCATAGCATTGATGGTCATAATCCTTCCAAAAAGTCAAAAAGAATCTTTCCATGACTTCAGCTATGGATTAATAAGGCTCTGTGTAGTCTCTAGCAAAGAACAGCACCAAAATGTGTGAAAAGCTTCTCAGTCACACCCAACTTCAGCACTTTCATTTTTGACTTCATCTTTATCTCTTTTGTGGTGACATCTGTTGCACACCAGTGAAACATGAAAGGGCAACAATCAGCTTTCTTACATACTGGACTGACATGTGCTTGCAGAAAGTAGTTAAAAGGAACAGGTAGGACTAAATATTTCTGGTTATCAGCAGGAGTAAAACTAAAGTACATGAAATAATTTCCTTGGTCTGTACAACGGGCAGGCTCTCTCTTAATTCTTAAGAAAGTGGTTTTAGGTGAAGTTGGTGATAGAAGTCAAATGTGAAGACTGGTTTAAGGCAACATAAGTCTTGAAAAGAAACCTTAACCTGTTAAACCAAATTCTGTTCCTTAAAAAAAAAAAAAAAAAAAGAAAGAAAAAAAAAGAAAAAAAAGGAAAGAAAAAGAAAGTTGTATACTATTCTTTTAAGGCAATGAAGCTCCTTTTCAAATCTACAGTTTTATTATCTACCTTACCACTATTTGTAACACAAACTGCTCATTTGCTTGTGTTCCAGTTTCTACCCCACTTCAGTTCAGTCAGCTGTTCCAATGTTTGGAACTCCCCTCTCTTAGGACTGAAGAGTTTTCTCTGGACAAGGGCCATGTCCCATGCTGTGACTCTCAAATACAAGATGAAGCTTCCCACCAAACACAGGCAAAAGAAGCACAGCCCAGGAGAAACAGTCAAAGGAGGCTCTGTGTGGTGTCTTTAAAAACACAAAAGCCTTACATACCCAGCTACAGCAAATTCACCTCCTACATTTGGGATGAATTATAGCCTTTTGCATTGTCAATATAAATATATCAAAGGAGTAGAGAGTGAACCATAGCCTTGTTAAAGTTGTCTTTGGATTGGGCTAAGTCTTGCTCTTTTACTCTCCCCTCACAGGAAATCCTGTTCCATTGATCACCCCAATCCTTCTGCACAAATATCAGTGTATCTTTCCCAAATGTGGATTACCACAGCTGTATCATGAAAAAGAAAATAAATACTAGAGCATGGCAGATATATATATGTACTGCCATATAAAAATAAATACTCATCTCATGGCAGAACTTGTTTTCAAAACAGCTTGTTCTCTCCTGAGAGATTCAGCAGTGACTTGCTACTTATAACAACAACAAAAATACACAGTTTCAGTGGTTTGAATTATCACTGAAACCTAAAATGGGTGAGCATCTCAAAGAGAGGGGAATGCTGATCTAGCCCAGCTTCTGTAGTTTGGGTCTCCTCCACAAGTGGGTGCAGTAACTCTATGTATAGTGACATTTTTAGAAGTTCCACCAAAACAGTATTTTTGTCCAGATTCAGTTGGCAGCACAGAAGTGAGAATTTCTGCTGTTAGAAAGCTGAAATACTGTTTGGTTAAACGAAGGCTGCAATTCTGGCAGCTCACGTTAGTCATGCTGTCAAGGATGGTAACGGCTCCTGTTCATAAACAAAATTAGCTGCAACTGAAAATTAAATTTAACACTAAAATGTGAGGTTTCTAAAGGCCTATTTAGCTTTCAGAACATGCCTTGTCTTGCAGTTCTTCTACCTCATAAAATTCACTCTGCATATAAATATGAGTTCATCTGAGTTAAAAATTCAATGCAGCTGATACAGCAGCCTGGCTACCTGATTTAAGATTACATGTGCTCTAAGAATACACATTTTTAATTGTTATAAATGCAATGTTAAGAATATGTCAAAGTGGTCACATTTATCAGCTGCCTTAAAATGAATCAACAGCACTGGAACTATCATTTATGGGGGAAAATAAATGTTTTCTACTTTGTCTGGTAGTTTTTGTGCCCAATGTTAGAGTGTACTGCTGGCAAATCATGCTACTTCTTCTATTTATTTCAAAACTCTGGTCAAATTCTGTCCTGAAAAGCCATGCCATTTATAAAAGATGTAACTTTATTCCCATTGCTTATTTCTTTATTGAGTGGCTTCCTTTCAAGGCAGCATCCAGCCATTCTACAGTTCCCAAATTATCCTTCCCAGCAGTTAAAATCTTAAGCCAGCTGAGATCTGTGAATCAGTTGGAGAGAGAAGTCAAGATATCAGAACTACACTTCAATATTAATACTTAGATAGATGGATTAGCTTTCCTAAATCACTTTTCAGAAGACATTCTCTGATCCAAATACACATTCCAGCTGACAGCAACCACATTTAATAGAAGCTCAGCAATGGGGGTCCCATGGCAAATTCAAGGTCAAGGTCAAACGAAATACAGATTTTCCTATAAAGAATGTGCAAAAGAGACACTGACAACATTTTATGCACGATTTAACCAACAGCACTCTGAGATATCTAAACTGAAGAGAAACAATTAAAACTCCTAAGGCACTTTAAACTTGTTACCTGCACTTTAGTGCTATGACTCTAGAAACAAAATCAATTTAGGATCAATTAAGTTGAGGGGAGGGAGAAAAGTAGGGGGAGAATGTTTCATTTTTATCACGGTATCTGGAAGCAGGGATGACCCACCGAGTGCCAAATAAAACATGGGCAAGTAACTGCAAAGCAAACAAGAATTATCTCCCAGAAGCAGAAGAGGGTGAGAGGCAGCCCCATGGTGTTATGAAACCTCCCAAGAGCTGAGGTGTCACACAGCTGGGGAGTCTGACCGTGTTCACAGGGGTCCGAGGAACAGGGAAGAGACCAGGATCTGACTCCATGTTTCAGAAGGCTTGATTTATGATTATATGATATATATATCAAAACTATACTAAAAGAACAGAAGAAAGGATTTCATCCGAAGGTTAGCTAAGAATAGTAAAAGAAGAATGAATAACAAAGGCTTGTGTCTCAGACAGTCTGAGCCAGCTGACTGTGATTGGCCATTAATTAGAAACAACCACATGAGACCAAGCACAGATGCACCTGTTGCATTCCACAGCAGCAGATAACCATTGTTTACATTTTGTTCCTGAGGCCTCTCAGCTTCTCAGGAGGAAAAATCCTAAGGAAAGGACTTTTCAGAAAAATATCATGGCTACAGGGGAGACATCCCCAGACTGCAGATGTGAGGGCACAGGAGGAAACAACGCCATGCAGGGGACACAACAGCTGAACCACGGGGCCTAAATATCCCCCATACTACTCTGTTAATGCCTGACTTGGGACTCAGCAAAATGAAATTGTGGTTGATAAAAAACTTAACACGAGCTGACAGTGTGAGCTCGGGGCTGCATCCAAAGGTTCTGCCCCCTCCCCTGCTCTTGTGAGAGCCCACCTGGAGCTCTGTGCACAGTTCTGTGTCCCAAACACTAGAAGGACATGGAGCTGTCAGAGCAAGCCCAGAGGAGGCCACGAAGTTGACAAAAGGACTGGAACAGCTCCCCTACAAAGGCTAAGGAAAGTGGAGAAGGTTGTGTGGAGACTTCAGAGCACCTTCCAGCACCTGGAGGAGCTACAGGGAAGCCGGAGAGGACCTATTCATCAGAACTGCAGTGACAGAACAAGGGGTAATGGGTACAAATTGAAAGAGGGGAAATTTAGGTGAGATATAAGGAAGAAATCCTTTACTGTGAGGGTGGTGAGACACCAGAACAGACTGCCCAGGGAGCCGTGGATGCCAGGTCGGATAAAGCCCTGAGCAGCCCGGTCTCATGGGAGGCGTCCCCGCCCGTGGCAGGGGGTGATTGGAACTGGATGATCTTTAAGATCCCTTCCAGCCCCTTAGCATCTATGAAACAGCTCCATGCAGGGCACACGCGGGCACAGGGAGAACAGCAGAACCTACAAGGATAAGGCGTTACTCAGCCACTCCTGGGCAGGGCAGGGCAGGGCAGAGCGAAGGCAGCGCCGCGGGACGCTCCGGGCGCCGCCGGCTCCGGGCAGCGCTGAGGCGGCGGGGCGGGGCCGGGCCCTGTGCGCCGGCGATGGCGCCGGGCGGCGCCCGGAGCTGCGCGGGAGGTTCCGGGCGGAGCGGGAGCTTCCGGGAGCGGCCGCGCTGAGGAGGAGGAGGAAGAGGAGGATGAAGAAGGAGCAGGTGGCGCACTGCCAGTTCTCCGTGTGGTACCCGCTCTTCAAGGCAGTCACCATCCGCAGGTGTGGGCGGTGAGGGGCGGCGGGGGCTGGGACAGGCGGTGCGGGCATTAGGGGAGCGTGTGGGAGCGGCTGGGAGGAGTGTGGGGCGAGGGAGGGTATCCTGCTCCTCCCCTCAGCCCGGCCGGGGCTCACCTGGAGTGCTGTGTCCGCTTCCGGAGGGACATGGAGCTCCTGGAACGGGTCAAGCGCAGGGCTCCGAGCGTGTTAAGGGACTGGAAAAGCTGAGGGTGCTGGGCCTGTTAAGCCTCGGGGAGCACAGAATGGTTTGGGTTTGGAGGGACCTTAAAGATCCTCTCGTTCCAATCCCCTGCTATGGGCAAGGACACCCTCCTCTAGACCAGGGTGCTCCAAGCCCCTTCCAACCTCCAGGGATGGGGCAGCCACAGCTTCTCTGGGCAGCCTGTGCCAGGGCCTCACCACCCTCACAAGAAAAAATTTCTTCCTAATATCTGTCTAAACCGACTTTGAACCCGTTCCCCCATGTGCTGTCACTACAATCTCTTGTAAATAGTCTTGCTCCATCTTTCTGCAAGTTCCCTTAAGGTACTGGAAGGAAAAAGAGATGTCTGAGAGGGGACTTTATTAATGGATATAAATCTCTAAAGAGGGGGTGGATGGACCAGGCTCTGCTTGGTGGTGCCCAGCAACAGAGGGCAAAGGGAAGAAACTGATGCCCAGGAAGCTCCACCTGAACATGAGGAAGAATTTCTGTCCTGTGCAGTGCCCAAGCACTGGAGCAGATTGTGCAGAGAGGCTGTGGAGTCTCCCTCACTAGAGATATTCCAGAAGTGTCTGAGCACATCCCTGTGCCCTGGCATGGCCCTGCCTGAGCAGGGAGGCTGGAGCAGATGAGCCCTGGGCTCCCTTCCTGCCTGACCCATTCTGGGATTCCCTGGGGTTGGGTCAGATAGAGGGACCTGTGTGGGGCATGAAGGATTGATTGAGCCATCAGCTGCAGCCCAGGGAGCTGGGGTCTTGTCTCTCCATCCCAAGGGAGTGTTTTGGGAAGCCCTGGGGCAGGCCAGGTACCCCTGTGCTCCCTGCTCTCCTGGTGGGACTCCATGCTAAGCATCAGGAGATATCCACACTGTTCTTATTATCCACATCCTGTATCCACACTGCTGTTCCTACTTCCCACTTAAACTATGACTGAGTAGATCCAACCCAAGTGGCCTCCTTGGTGTTTCTATGTATTTCTGGAAGCCATAGGAAATTCTGCACTTTCTAAGGTGCTGCTCCAGGTCATGAGATGTTTACAAGAGCTATCAGTAGCTCAGGGAAGTCAAGATAGCCGCCCTGCTGGATCAAAAAGTGCTGACATCATGTTTTTAGTAATCAAAGTATTTGATCTTTTATCTTTCTTAGCGTTGAACACAGGCTTATTTTTGGTAAGTTTCGTGATAGTCCTGTGTTTTTGGAACCTTAGGGTGGCATAGGCAAATTTTGATTTGGATTTCAGAAGGAAAACCTTTAGTTTGAGCAACATGTTGTCTCCTCACAAGCTGCACACAATTTTACTTGGAACTTCTTAAAGCTTTGAAGGAGTGAGGCATTTTTTCTGTATTTCATCTAAAATTTTTGTCCTATGCTTCCATGGAAGGAGAATGGGCAAAAGAGAATTTTCTTCCATAATGTTAGGGGATAAAACATAGTGTTGTTGGGGTATGTGCTATGAAAAAAACAAATTCTTTTATTTCACTAGGATTTTTATTATAACAATTAATAATAAGGTATTAAAGAGATTTTCACATTTCTTCCAGTGTTATTCTTCCCCTGCCAGAGAATGTGAAAGAATATTTGCTGGATGATGGAACACTGGTAGTTTCTGGAAGGTAAAGTGTGTTTTCTCCCCAGCTTCTGAGTATTAATGCCATTTTTTATTCACAGCACCATTTTGTATATACATATTGTACTGAACATAATGAGTTTTTCAATTTGACCAGGGTGACTGCAGTAAACCTCACACTGTGTGAGCATGTGAATGGGCTGGCTTTTGCTAGTACAGCTGGATTTGCTGGTGCCTGAAGCAGATCTTAAAATCCATGAACTACAGTTTCTTCTACACCAAGTGGACAAAGTCCTTTCATTTTTTTTCTCCACGCTTCTCTGGGGAGAGTACCAGTCTCTGGGATGCTCAGCTGCTGGTTTGTGTTTGCTTCTTTGGATCTGGTTGGGTCCAATTCACAGGCTTGACCTGTCCCATGCCAGTCCAGGGGTGAAGTGACATTACCTGAACTTAATTCTCAATAAAATAAGCTACAGACAGACTCAATAATCAGTAACATTTTATATAATCACTTGCAATCCATGCATCTGACAAAGCTGAATGTCCTGTATGAGCACTCATGCCAGGGTTTTGGATGCAGAAGAATGAGGTGGAGAGGTAGCAGGAGCAGCTGGTGAGGACACAGGCCTTGCTCTTTGTTCCTGTGTAGATCTCCCTGTGTGGTGCCCTTGTGGAATGGTTGCTGCCTGCATCTTGTTCATGATCAAACTCACAAATCAGTCCTCACTCCATGATTCCCTACCTGGGAGTTTGCCCCTTGCAGAGCACCCAGAGAGGCTGTGTGTGAAAGGGAGCTTGGTTTGATTTATCAGCTATCAATTTATATAAAAATTGAAGCTGTTTAAACGCCTTGTAAACATGAAAGGGTTTAATTTTTAATTTCTAAATTCTTTTTCTTATTAAAGGATATGCAGAAAATTAGAATTGTTTTTTAAACTATTTTGGATCAGAAGTAGCATTGTCACCTGCTTCTGCAGAATTGTGTAATTTATTTAGCAGCAGCTGTATATTTTAATAAGCCTTTAGAAAAGCTGAAATTGAAGGTTTGACTTAACAGCTGTGTTCTAAAATTTTGCTGTCTCCAATGGAGTAATGGACAGCTGTATAATTGACTTAAATTACATTTTTAAGATGTTTGCAGTTAAAATTCCTTTTAGAAACCATTTTTTTTCTCTGAGTTTAATTTCCTTAGCTATAAGTGAATGGGATCTTCTTGCAGTCAAGGCCAAAATTGCTGCTAACCTTCAGTGCACCCCTGTCTGTCCTCTAGATCTCCAACACTGGATTGATGGCTTAGTCCCTCTGGAAGTGCATGAGGGACTGCAGAGACTCAGCTTGTCTAAGAATTGACTTTTGGCAGGGATGTACATTTGACCTTGCCCTGTTTGCTACATTCTCCACTTCCCATAGGATCATCTTTGGTCAGTCTGCTGAGTGTGGGGACATTTTCTTTTCAGAGCCAGGAATTCACAAGTTGACATTTGAAACTCAAGGTTTATGAATTTTTACTTGGAAAGGGAATATGGAGGTGAAAATTTAAATTTAACTTATTTTTAAAAAAAATAAATTTGTGTTTATGTCAGAGTACAGTAAAGTTGGAAAAGAATCATTAACAGGGTGTCAAAAAGCTTCAGTTATGGTGTTTTAGAGCAAAACCTGATTTGCTAATTTGAAAGAAGCCAAGTGTTCAGGGTAGGACCTAGGCCTAATGCCAGCTATTCAGTCTTTAGTTTTCAGTACTGGTATCTCTGATTTTTCTCTGCCAGGGTTTGAGGTTTAATCTTCTTATGAAAACATTTTGACATCAAGAGCTGGAAATGCTGTGGAAATGTAATGGACATGGTCAAGTCAAACTCCAGTGCTTAATTTTTTTTCCTGTTAATTTTTTGTCTCAGAGAAGATCCACCAAGTCATGCTCAGGAGGGGAGTGATGAAGCAGAGGAGATACAGGTCAGTGTAAAATGCAAGTTTTCTCTTGAGAAAAATACGAGTGTATAAGTTTTGCTGCATAATTTATAGGTGTGGAGAGTCCTTCACAGAAATAATTATCATGTGGTAGTTGCCATGCAAAACATAAAAATGTGATCACTTATGCTGTGAAGTCTGGGAAAGTTTAAGATATTTCTATGCTCTTCCACAGAAGACTTTTTATTTTTCATTTCTTGATAATTGCATTTGCAATCATGACTGGGGAATGTTGAAATTGAACTTAATGCTGTTTCACGCCCTGAAAAATTAGGAGTACATTTGGAGTAGTTACTTCAAGAAACAGTGAAAGTTTCTGAGGCCATAATAACTCAGAAGGCCATTCTAGAAGGAAAACACTGAAAAATGTTGTAATTACAAAGTGACAGAAGGTACAAAACGGAGATGAAAAAGAAATAAAAGTGAAGCTAATGGATGTGGGTCTAAGGATGGAAGTGCTCAATTCTAAAGTAACTCCTGCTTTAGCCTAGGAGTTACTTTAGAATTGAGCCGGGGACAAGCTGTAGATAGGGAAGACTGAGTTCTGAAATGTCCATCTTTCTGATATAAATCAAATTTGAAACATACAGAGATCTCTTTTTATCAATACTTTAGAGTAGTTTTTTTACTTTACTTCTGCTGAATATACAGTGTTTTTCCTGTCTTACTTAACAGCCAAAATAATTGCAGGATGGTGATGTTATGCTGTCTGGGGCAATGATTTAATCTACATGTTGTAAGAGGCTGCATGAATTCTGAAATTGTCATAAATGATAAAGGATGGCTCAGGAAGATGGTAACCTTTGGTTTGTTCTTATTTTCAACAGTGGTCAGATGATGAGAACACTACAACACTTAAGGTAAGGTCCTGTAAAAGCCTGGTGTGGGTTTGTCAGCAGTTTTCCATTCTGCAGCCTTGTGATACAAACTTGTTGCTTGTTAGAGATATCTCTTGCTGTATTTAACATTTTTCAATCATTTCAGATGGATGGCAGTATAGATATCTGTAACTTCCAAAAGGTTTTGCTGGCTTAATTATATTTCACTAAAATAAAACACTTTTCTTCATCCCTGACAATCATGCACTTGTTAGACCCTAGGAAATGAACTGCAGTACACCTCTAAATATAGCTCTTTCATTTTCACCACTTTGAGTATCTCCAAATTATTTAATCAAACTGGATGCAGAAGAAACCAAGCCCCTGCAGCTTAATCGTCACAACTTTTCTCTTGATGTGCCATTATTTCTTCTGAGTACATCTCTCTATATCATGTTTTTTTTTTCCTTTCCTGTCTTTATGGTCTCCTTGCACATGGAATCAAGATCATAATGGATGCAAACCAGGCTTTCTTGATGTTTTTCTTACATCTGTTTTTGAAATTTGCTGTTGCCCTGTCACTGTCAGAGTTAAAAGTACTCAAGGCACTTGTCTGCCATTGATGCTGTGACTTGAGGTCCCTAAATCAGGGTGTGGAATTGCTCATGTTGGATTAGGTGCCATATAATCACAGCCCTGCTTTGAGTGGTGCTTCTGCTAGCACAGAATTTATAGCCTAGAGTTTAAAACTAATCCATTTCAAATTTGTGCACACTGATTAATCTTCAGTTCAAATATTTAACCTCTGATAGCCTAGATTCCCTTAACTGTCAGTTATTTAAAACAAAGGGTTTAGGATCCATCATGGTTTGCAAAGCTCATGGTGATGATGCTAAATAAGTAAATCCAGAGTTTTGAGTCAGGTTCTGTTATAATGTAGAACACAATAAGGAAATACACAATTAAGAGGTATTTACCTGTCAGAAGAGCACAGGGCAAATGACTCTAGGTAAGTCCACAGCTTCCTCATGAGGGAAGTGGAGGGGCAGAAAATTCTGTTTTAAGAATAACTTGCATTAATATTAATGGTTACAAAGCCAGGCATTCAGAATTCAGGAAATGATGGAGTCCAGCTTGTTTATGCAGTTGTAGAACTTTCCTCTTGTGGGTATATTTATCCTCTTGTATTAATCAAATAATCATTGGTAGCATTTTCCCAAGGAGGCTTAGTGTGTGCTGGTATTACATATATAGCAGGACTCCTGATTCCTGTCAAAACAAGAGAAGCTTGGATCAGAATGCAGTGGATGAAGAGTTTTAGTTCTTGCAGGAGCAGTTTCTAGAATCAACTGAAAGCCTAAAAATAAAATTAGAGAAGTGGTTTTTTTTCAGTTTTCTGAGTGTAGTTTCCCATGGAGACTAGGTAATGTATGAAGGAAAGGATCAGAATGCTTAAGTTCAGTCTAGGTCACTGCACTAAAATGTGAGAAGGTTTTTTTAAATGTTTGCATTTGGGGAATCTGCAGTGGGGAGATGCCAGCATATATGAGTTTTTTTAGTCACTTGTATGGCTGTGAGGGTTTTGTTGTTTTAGAGGCATCAATTAGCTTTAGCCTAGGAGTTACTTTTGAAATGAGTTTCAAAATAGGCAGAAACAGTGCTCCTATATACTTCTTGCTATAAATGCTATTATATGAAAAATCTTTGACATATGCTTCAAATCCTTTCATATTATTTTAAAGGTCAGCAACCTGTTCTTTTTTTTTCTGTAGCACCACATTCAGGGTAGAGTTTGGAGCAAGATGAAGAGTTGGGGTTTTTTTTACCTCAATTTTAGATTTTCAATGTTCTTTACAAGGCAAGGTTTTCTAGTCCAACCTTTGCAGTGTGTCCTCTATTTTGAATCAGTATATTGTAAGCAGCTACTTTAAGACCTAATTGAAGAGCAGATTAGTTAAAGTATTACTAACATTTTATTAAACTAGAGCCTAAATGAGCAACTTTATCAACTTGCCTATGAATTGATAAAGATATGTTTAATTCTAAAATCACTCTTTAGAAGTTTAAGTATTACTGGATCTTATTTGTATACAGTAATCTATCACAGGATATAAACTGGCAGGTAAGGATTTAAGGTTTGGTTATTTGACTTGTATTTTTGCCAGCTGTTGCAGATTTCATGGTGACTGTTATGATGTTTTGGGTTTGAAGTTTGTGATACTTGCTAGTAATGAGAGTGAGAACTGGGAGCATTTTTAGTTTTCTCTGATTGAAAAAATGACAGATTTGATAAAGTGATTTATTTAAGTGATTTTATTGTGCACTATGTTTCTGAGGTTCATACTGATTTTGGACTTATTTCTAGTGCAATATGTATTTCTAGCAGTATTTAGAAGATGGCTACACTTCACTATTAAATGTATTGAAATTTATATTTTGCTTCTTTGTTCAGGCACCAGAATTTCCTGAGTTCACAGCTAAAGTTCAGGAAGCAATAAGTTCCTTGGGTGGCAGTGTTTTTCCTAAACTCAACTGGAGTGCTCCAAGGGTAAGAATGCTGGCTCCCAAAACTTGTAACAGATGTTGTCATACAAAATGTTTTGTGTTTGTTTTCTCTCAATGCTTTGGAAAGAAGAAGAGAGTAGTGGTTCTGATGGAAGGAAGAAGTGATAGACAAGGTATCAGTGAAGTGATGGATTCTTTACTCTAAGTGGAATCCACCACTCCCTGATATCTTGTCTATCACTAGGTGGTGATGGTGCCTTTTTAGGGAGGCTGATCTATGGCAGCACTGACTTTCCTATCTAAAACTAGTTCAGGATACTACTTGAAACCTTTGCCTGGTATAAAGATGAAAAGCACCACAGTTCCACAAAAAAAAAAAAAAAAAGGCAACTAGCTTTCCTCTAGTTAATTTTAGGTAGTCATATCTTTTCTATCACTATATAGACAAAAAAAAAGAAATGAACTTTCCTCTGGTTAATTTTAGGTACTCATATCTTGTCTATCATTAGATGGTGATTTTCAGGGAGGCTGATGCATGGCAGCACTGACTTTCCTATCTAAAACCTATATCCTGGTCACAGATGTTGTGTGATGGGCAGGCTCTTATTCAGGATACTAGTTGAAACCTTTACCTGGTATAAAGATGAAAACACCCCAGTTTCAAAAAAAAGGCAATAAACTTTCCTCTGGTTAATTTTAGGTACTCATATCTTGTCTATCACTAGGTGGTGATGGTGCATTTTTAGGGAGGCTGATGCATGGCAGCAGTGACTTTCCTATCTAAAACTAGTTCAGGATACTACTTGAAACCTTTGCCTGGTATAAAGATGAGAAGCACAACGGTTTCACAAAAAAAAAAGGCAACTAACTTTCCTCTAGTTAATTTTAGGTACTCATATCTTTTCTATCACTATATAGACAAAAAAAAAGAAATAAACTTTCCTCTAGTTAATTTTAGGTACTCATATCTTTTCTATCATTATATATGACAAAAAAAGGCAATAAACTTTCCTCTAGTTAATTTTAGGTACTCATATCTTTTCTATCATTATATATGACAAAAAAAGGCAATAAACTTTCCTCTAGTTAATTTTAGGTACTCATCTTGTCTATCACTAGATATGATTAAAAAAAAGAAATACACTTTCCTCTAGGTAATTTTAAGTACTCTCATCTTGTCTATCACTAGGTGGTGATGGTGCATTTTTAGCGAGGCTGATGCATGGCAGCACTGACTTTCCTATCTAAAACCTATATCCTGTTCACAGATGTTGTGTGATGGGCAGGCTCTTGTTCAGGATACTAGTTGAAACCTTTAGCTGGTATAAAGATGAAAAGCACCAAAGTTTCAAAAAAGGGCAATAAACTTTCCTCTAGTTAATTTTAGGTACTCTTAACTATACTGTAAGAATGAGTGCACCCAAATATTGTTGTTTTGTGTTCTCAAGAGACACTGTGTTCAATCAAGGATTCCAAGAAAGTTCCTGGAAGCAATAAGGCAAAAACCTAATTTTGCAAATGAATTTGCACTGCTTTCATCAGAGTATTCATAAGAAAAGCAAGCACTATTTTCTCTCTTTTAACCACTAATGAAGTTTACCTCAAAATAAAAAGAAATAATTTTCTGCATGTATTTCAAACGTTGCATAATATTTAGATAGACTTGGAGTTTGCATTCTCTCCTGCTCATAAAGATGTGTTTCAGGTCTCTCTGTGTTTCTTTAGGATGCCTACTGGATAGCAATGAACAGCTCTCTGAAATGTAAAGCTCTCAGTGACATCTTCCTCCTCTTCAAGAGTTCAGACTTCATCACCCGTGACCTCACTCAGCCGTAAGTCCATTTCCAGCAGACAATCTCAGTTATCCACAGCCAGGAAGAGCCAAAAGCAAACCAGAAACACCTTAAAGTAGCACATGCAACCAGTGTGCCTTGACACTATGGACTAAGAACATCTATTTTTTTTTACTACCTTTCCAGAGCAAGTCATGTTGTATTCTTGAGATTTTTTGCCTTCCCACCCCTCTTGGTGTTTACTTGTTGTTGCTCTCTTTGTTGGTGCCACTTCTTATGGTAATACAGTGTGACTTTACCATGTCCTCTTATTTTAAAGCTGTTGAGGTTTGTGGAGCTACCTGGAAGATGCTTGAGACTTCTGCTAACATATTTCACATATTTCTAGAGCTTGTTCTGAACCCAAGTTCTTGTAGCTCTTGAAACAAATCCATTCCAGGTGACTAAGGACAGCAATTACAGATAAAATGAAAAGTGTTATGTGCTTGGGGTTGATTTTTATCTGCTCACATGAAGGGAGTATTTAATTGTATAGGAACAGTTTCCTCCTGTGGTACCTGCATCTCCTTGATTTATGTCACTCATTTCTAAAATACAGCATTTTTCTGAAAGAAAATGAGATTACTGGGTTTGATATTTCTGTTACTATGGTTACTTTTTTGTTTTTCCTAGACAAGCAGAATTTCAAAGAAAAGGGGCAATCTGTGGCTTGGTATCTGAGAGATTCTTTTCCAGTAATTATTCAATGCTTATTTATAGTGCAGGATCTTTCTGGAGACTCAGTCAAATGCAGAGCCATTGTTCCAGGAGCCTTACAGGGGGTTAACAGGTGTAAGTTTCGTGTCAAGTGGCTTATGTCTTGATAAAAATTCTCTTTTTAAAATGTGAAACTAGTTACATTAATGCTGTGCAACTGCCTTCTTTTTATTCCTGCTGCAACTCTACTGAGACTCTCTTCTCCCAGGTTTTGGTACATGAGAAAAAAAAAGAGGTTCTTGACAGCAGGGCTGTAAGTCCAATTCTGATATTGGGTTTTATATCATGCCTAACCTGCAATGAGAGGAGGTGCTGGGGAAGAGACTGAGGAGGAGGGGAGAAGATATTGGAGAGATAAAACAGTTTGAAAAGTATGCTGGGCTTGGGAAACAACTGTGAAGAATGAGAATTCATGATTCTGGGGTCACAGAGAATGAAAGGAATGAGGGAGATGAGAAATCTGTAGTTTACATGTCAGAGGTGAGTGAATTCTCAGAGGCCTTTGGTGCTTGCCCATGGAGCTGCTTTTCATGGCTTCCCCTAATAGGTGGGGTGTCTGAGGATGGCTTGTTCATAGAGTTGAGCAATAAAATTTTTGTTGCAGTGGCTTTCAGGACTGATTATTGTAGGTCTGAAAAGGGCTGCACACTTGGCATCATCTCTTTGTGAATGTTAAATAGTATGGAGTTTGTATTTACTGTCTTCATGCATAAAGAGGTCCAGCAAAAACTACCCAGAGCTGTTTGCAGAATTCCTGTTGGTTAACTGTTTTCTAGTGACTCTTGGAGACAAGCAAATGTTCAGCAAGTGCCACTTGATTTAGATGTGGCAGCTCCTTGTATGAAATGTACAAAGAATTGCTTCAACCACCTTCACTCATACTGCAATCAGTGTATTTTCTGTCCAGATTAATCTTGTTTCAGTTCCAGTCAGTGCCTCAGCTCTTCACCCCTGCAGTCAGCACTGGCTTGGTGGAGGGGCAGTGAGGACATTCTGGGGCTGTGCTGTGGGGGTTCACAGCATGGCTGTTGCCTTGGAGCAGCAGTGATTTCACCTGAAGTTCACACAAGAACAGTGGTGGCTGAGCAGCCCATAGCAGGCACATTCCCTCCTCCTGATCCTGCTCTGGGAGAATCACCTCTTGCAGAAAGGCAACACCTCAAACTCCACTGCTCCAGTCCATTTAGACTCCTTTTCCAATGTGGTAAGACACCAGATAGCACAGCTAAGGTGGTAAAAAAGTAAAGCTTCTGACATGATTGTGGGAAATCACCTTGGTCTCTGTGTATATGTCATTTATGACTATGTCATACTTGATTAAAGCATATATTATTGTCCAGTCTCTGCTTGGTATTTCTAAATGACAAAGTTACTTGTACAGAATGTCCCCAAACAGTGCCATGATTATGGCTAAATCAGAGCAGTGGTCCTCCTTAATTATACTATTGATTAGCTGCCAGTTCACTAGTCCTTAGCAAGCAGAAATTAAAAATGTAGCTGGCATAAGAACCTGAAGCTGAACAAATGAAAATTACATACATAATGCATCCAAATCCCTTGGAAGGACTACTTGGAGAGAGGAGAAATGCACTATATTTCTACTTTGTCAGTAATGCTCAGTATGGTCTAAAGGTTTCTTGCCCTACATAAGTAACAGCTGAAATGCTGAATACCCTTTTTTTGGTGGTGTTGTTTTGTTTCCTGTGCAATTGTATAAACTTAAATATCCACTTCATGGGCCATAATATGGTAAACGTGCTGCAATGGCAATTTGTAGATCTAGGTTTTAACCTAGAAATATGAGCCAGTGATGTGGGACTTAAGGCAAACCACTTTCTTTGCCTTTTTCTTCCTCTCCCAATTCCTGTCTACCTCTAAACATTGTTCAGCTAAGGGAATGCCCTTGTTGTAACTCTCAGCTGTCTCAAGTTCTGAGAAAACTTCAAACTATTAAAAAATATGGACTCATTGCAAATATACTGAGCATGATTAAATTGCTCTGACGGTTTTAAAAGTTTGTATTCTTTCATGATGCTGACACCTTGGTTGAAGAGTTCAGACTAATAAATTGCCTTTTCCATCATGTTAATTTTAAATAAATTAACAAAGACTTCAGAGCGATGTACTCATTAATGCAGTTGATGTTGTTTCTGCTTCAAAGTCAGCATTGTGTTTTACTTAGCTGAGTTCACAAAAAAATCTTGTGGGTGGTGTGATCTTAATTTTTCAGGAATTAATGTAGGCTTTCAGAAATTTAGTGTTGAGTATATGTGATAAAAAAAATCCCTTTCTAACTGGGATTTCTGTTAAGTGGTAAAAACTCTTTTGAGCAGAAAGCTCTGTGTAGCCCTGGTGGATGTATTGGTGTAAAATAGAGCTTTTTTCCTTATTGTTAGAATGGGTGGACTATGTTTTGTTAAAACATGATTGATTGCTCACCTTGAGACTGATAGAAATGTTAGCAGTACTTCTAATGATGTGATAGTGCCTCTTCATTCTGACAACATTTCTGATGCCAGGCTTAATGCTTTTAATATTGAATTCCAAATTGTAGGAAAATTTCAAAGTTTTTTGAGATGTGGAGGAATAAGAGCCTGTGTTCTCCTAACCAAACATAGGAGGCAGTGTTGGACCATGAAGAGAATGTGCCTTAGCACTCCAGTATCTTTTTGCAGGAGCTGATCGTTTAGGCTTTAATATAAACTGTTTCAAGGTAGGCAGTTGCACACGAAAGGATGTGGAAAATTAGGCCTTTGATGGTGATTTTTTTTTATTCTGATTTTTTACTCTTGCCCATTTTTCCTAGCAATTTACAGTGTGGAACAAGATTCACTTTTCAGTGGTGTATGAATTTCCAATTTCTTTTAGGCCTCAGAGTTCCAGCAAGGTTTAATATTAAAGGAATAAAGATACAGTTCGAAGGCTCTTAAAAACTTCTCCTTATTCTTTTTTAAATAAGATTTTAACATAAACCATGAGATAATATCAGGGAAGTATCAGGTACAGAATAAATTTTACAATTCTCATCATATTCATAATAGTTCCTAATTCTCTCAGTGATTTGCAGATGAGTTCATGACTTTCTTAGCAGGGTGGGTACTGGAGAAACTTGCCAACCTTTTGCTTTTCTTAGTGTTGAAAACTGACCTGCATAATCACTTTTTGTAGCATGTCCTGTGGTCAAGTGTTTGCATTTGGAGTTTGACATAGAGCTGCCACATATAAAGAGATCTTGATCCTTCTGGTCTTGACTTCTCAGTGTAACTCTGTAAAAAAGCTGTTCACCAGAACACAACAGAAGAGTTTGATCCTTTCACCCATAGTATTCAAAATGACAATTTTCAGAGGCTTCAGAAAATACAGCCCAGGCATGTCTCAATTTGAGGTGCCTGACATCTTTCTGATTGTTCTTTCAAGCATGTCCAAACCTGAATAGGATGTGGGTTGAAGACACCCCACTTAGCATTGTGCCTCTAGAGATCAAAAGCTCATCTGTAGTACACAAGTTCAGATGGGTTTCAGCAATAAATGTTACAATGAACTGGTAAAAAATATAAAATTGCAACCTCAAATCACCCAAAATTACTCCCTGAACAAAGGTGGCCTTTTGTCAATGAAAACTCATGATAATATTAAGAAGGAAAATTAGATTACAAAAACATGAGTTTATTTTGTCTTCTGCTGTGTTCACCCATTTTTTTCATCATTTGCACTTACTCCTGTGTCATTAAGGCTCAAAAAAAAAAATTTCCCTTTCCATGTCTTGCAGTATTTTTGCCTGTGTGCTTGATTTGGCAGTGATACCTGCACAGTCTGTGGGGCTTGGGATGGCATCCAAGGATTTAATTTTCTGACTTACAATGGAAGAGGAACCATCCTTCCCCACATAACTCTTACCCAAAATATTTGAGGGTTGAGTTAGGGAATCATTTTGATTATAAGGCTGGGGTTTTATGGCTGCTGGAAAAGAGTGTAATTGGAATGAAGTAGATTGCAGGCACCCCAATCTCAGATATGAAGTCTGTGAGTGGTAATACCAGTCCTCATGTGCAGGCACTGTAAAACTCCATGTGCTGGACTTCAGCTGCCTTTGTAGATAAGTTTATTACTATGGGCTTTGTGTGTGTGTGGGGGGATATTTTCTTCAGCATGATAGGCATATACTCCAGTAAGGGAGGAATTCTGACTCTAGCAAAACTGTGAGCTCTCATGGGTTTGTTTCTGTTGCTTTGACAGATCTTAAATTGTGGGGAATCTAAACTGTAGCTGAAGGATGTTATCTGTTTACACAGGCTTACAGATATATATATGATGTGTTTGATCACTGTGCTTTTGGAAAGTCTGCCTGTATTGCCCTACTTTTCTGTGTGTTGTGGATATTAAAGTCTAAACTAAAATGTGTGAAATTTATTTCTGCTGGCAGCATACAGAATGAACTCTTACAATAGCTCTTCACTTCAAACCAAAGGCTGGGAAGCCATGTCTTACAAATGCAGTGTTTATGTGAGGTTTTTGGGTTGTTGAATGAAGTTCAGTGCCAAAAGGAGATCCTATAAATATTGTATTTAGGACTATTGCTCAGCAGTGACCCTTAACACAGTTCTGTGCTTCCAAGTAGTTTGTTGCCAATAAGGTCAGGGAGTAGAAATGGAAGAAAATCACATGTTCTTCTGTGAATACCTTTTGAAAGTTACAGAATCTATTGCAAGGTTTACTGTAAAATGACAAAAAGGTACATGGAAGCTGACTTGGCTTATAACTGCCTCCATTCTTGCTAGCTCCTGAAAGGAGACCAACACACTCAGCCCCTCACAAGGGACAAAACCTTGACATCTGCTTGGAGTTGTGGAAATAGTTTTGTTTATCCCACTCTCAAGGGATTTGTAAGAGTATTTCTTAAGGCTCTTAATTTAGAAAATACCATGCTATGGAATCAGGAGTGCTGAGCTGCAGCGCTGTTTTGCATCCTTTATTCATGGAAATGAACTGCTGTGAGGCATGATGATGTGTCTCTGTTGTGTGGTTTGGGAAGTTAAACATTAAAAGTACTTGGCAAAACATGCTGCAATGAAACTGGATTAGATTGCTCAAGTTTATTGGGTTTTTTGAGAATTCAGTTATGCCAACATAACAATACAAGGGGAAAAGAGCAGCACTGTTGATTCAAACAGAAATAAATCAACAGTGAATAAACACTGACGTTTTGGACACACCCCTGTCCGGATTTAAGTGCTTCCAAATCACACTAGAATAAAAGAGGTGATTATTCTGCTTTTTTCCCATGATTATTGTCAAAAGGAGAGTTGTTATGTATTGCAATTTATTGCTTTGTACATATTGGAAATAATTTAACAGTAGTTCTTATGTTTCACATGAGAACTGTTTCAGTTTGGGGTTATTTTCAGTTTGGGGTTATTTGGGGTTATTTTTATTGGGGTTTCAATTATGTTTCAGTTGGGGTTATTTTTCTCACTATGGCTAAAATCTGACATGTGAAGCAGATTTTGAAGCCTGTGCCTTACTTTTCCAGATTTATTCACTGTACTGATGATTCCCCTGATCCTTCCTTGAACTATGAGGTAGGACTCCTTGCATGATTTCTAAGTAATTGAAAAGAATTGCTCACAGGCTGGGTGACATTTGTGGCTGGGTTTCTGTCCATTAAATGTATTATGTTTGTTTTATTCATGTTGCTTTCAATATGAAGGGAAGTCTGGTTCAGCACTGCAGGTCATAAGAAGTTCATTTAATTGCAGGTCAGGTGGGCTGAAGTGCAGACTGGAGAGGCTTCCTTGCAATGTCCTCTCGTGTCTGTCAGGTTGTGACAGGAAGGACAAGTTCAGTAGCTCAAAGTAATACATTCTTGATGGTGAGCTGCTTGTGAACATCACACTGAGGTTACCAAGGCTGAGGCTTGCTGCAGTGGCTGGGGACATCCTGAACTGCTCTGTCACATCTTGTTTCCCATGTTTGTTACCAGATCAAAATGTTCAGCTAGAGATGCTTTGAACTGTTAATGTGGAGCTACTGCTCTTGTGGTAACATCTAGTCATCTCTCTAATAATAGTTTTTATGTAAATATAACATTTGTCATCATGCAGTGGGCTTACAGGGCTTTGCAAAAGTGAATGAACCTTGTTTTATTTTAAAGTGTGCTTTAAAGATACAGGACATCTAAAAGTTGGAGCAAAGAGTTTAATGTTACCACCATAGTTAGGAATGTCATCTCTGGTCACTGAAGCTTTCTGCTGCAGTTTAAAGGGTTTGGGAGTTTCCAGCATCCACTAGCAGTAACTGGGGCCTTCAAAAACACCAATCCTTCAGAATATTTCAGCTTAGGAAGTACAGAAACTTGAGAAAGTGCCAGAAAGATGCTTTAATTCCCAGGCAGTCTGTCCTATTGACTATAATAGTTTGCCTTCTATTTCTGTCCTGTGTCCTTATTTTAACTGGTTTGCGCCTTCAAAGGCGTCACAGAGTTCTGCTTGGGTGTGTACCAGAATAGAGGTTGATTTGGATAAATTTAATTCTGCTCATCAGCTCCTTTGACTAGGGAGCAACTTTCTGCCAATTCCATGACAGATTTGTTATGTTGTACAGCAGGGTTTTCATTTTCCATGTTTTATCATTAATGTAACTTGGAAGTTGTTGCATAAATGAGTTCACAGTTATACATACTGTACAAAGTGGAAGAGCATAAGATAATCAAGGTGGGTAGGGACCTCAGGAGGTCACTAGTAGACTAAGACCTAGGAGGTGTCTCATCCATCCTCATGCTCAAAGCTGGGTAAGGAATGAGATCATATTGTCCCATTTGGCATTTTATAAAATCTGTCTTGAAAACCTGGTAGAGGCTGCCCAGCCTCTGTGAGGGATCCCTTCCAGTGCTTGACAGTCCTCATCTGAACCTTTCTGCTTTAAGCTAGTTTAGACTATATGGTCTTTAGAGATGCCATCCAACTGAAAGCATTCTGTGATTCTCTGAAATTAATAATAAATCTAATTGTTTTGAAATATTTTCAAAGATGACTATGTGAACTTCAGATTTAAGATTGTTTTGTTCTCTAGTCTCACTGGTCATCATTACAGCAAAACTGTGGCTCTAAAAGGCAGACCTGTTGCCAAAAGGATGCTGTTACTTCTCTGAACCAAGGCTTTGTCATTTGTTTTTCCTGCACAGCTTGTTCTTCGCAAATGGTGTGAACTAATCCCTGGTGCAGAATTCAGATGCTTTGTCAAGGAAAACAAGCTTTTAGGTAAGGAATTTCTTAAAAACAAAGTTATTGGATGAAGTTTTGAGGAGTTTCTCTGATTCCCCGAATTAGAGCTAAGGCTGAAGAAAGCTCTTTCTTTCCACACCTCATTTCTGAAATTAATGGTTTATTCTTTCTGTAATTTAAAATGTGGTTTACCACATCTCACTTTCCACTATATTTGAAAGCTTGACAGCTCAGCATGCTTGCCATTACAGTGGAAATATTCTTAATTTAATTGTTAATTCAGAAACTTCACCCAAAGGCAGAGTCTTTTATATTCAGGAGCAAATTGCATCGACTCCAGCTTGCAGAATGAATACAGAGGCAGTTGTGTGTTGGGCTGTAAATACATGACTCCATGAGGATGTTATATGCAGAAAGTTGGGGAGGTCAGAACACCTCCACAGGTGTAGGAGGTGTCTTGAGTTCATACTAAATTCAGTGTACTTACTTAGAGCTTGTTGTTCTGTTACTCAAGTGCAGAATCCTGAATGTAAAACGTTTCAAGTGGCACTGAAGAGCCAAGGGATCCATCCACAGCATGCACAGAGCTGGTGGGTGCATTGGGAGACCTCTGGCAGCTGGAGAACAGGAAGATTGTGCTACAGCATGTGTTGTAGGCAGCTGAGTAGGGTAATTTTAGGGTAATTTAGGGTAAATTTAGCTCAGTTTTACTCCTCTGGTTGTGTTGACTATTCTCTGCTGACTATAGCAGGAAATGAGATACCCAGTGCACATACAGGTGCTTGAATTGAGGGGTTTAATTTCAGGCTAATTACTACTCTGAAGTTTGATTTTGGTGTGGTCTACCATGAAATCTTTAGAGATGAACAGAAACTCAAATAGCACAGGATTAGTGCACATTTGTTCTGAACAAGGTTGAATCATTCTGCCTAAACTCTTCTAAAGAGGAAGTGTTATGGCAGTCATGGAGCAAATGCAGGCTCTACAGGAAGAAAGGTGATATTTTTTTTTTTTTTTTTGCTTTAGGATAAAACTGGGCTTGCTCACTTTGCCTCTCTCATGCCTACATATTCACAAGCACCAAGCTCCATATCCACAAGTGGTTCCTTGTGATGATATGGAAGGCCAGGGATATTGGCTTTGTAGTTCTCACTGTTCCTCCTGTCTTAGCATGGTGAGTGTGCACTTGTTTTGGCTGTGCCTTTTTGTACCTGTTGGGAGCTGTCTGCAATTTGTTGCTCCATGCAGTCCCACCTCTGTGAAGGTTTAGGAGCACGCTCCCTGTTCTTCATTTCCTGATTTGGGTTTCCTATGGACCTGCACACAGATATTTGAGCTGTGCTAATCCAGGTGCTGTCAACACACACTATTCTCCTAAGCCCTTTTATTTGGCTGTTCTGTCTGGTGTTCCTATGCTCACCTTCCCATTTTCTCTCCATTTATGCCAGTTGCAAGTGCATTACAGCTCCCTGTAACAGAGTTTATCTTCCTAATAGCAGAGATTTCCCATTAAGTCTGCATTGTTTAATGGCTCCTGACAGAGATTTTGAAGGGAGGAGAGCTGAATCCTGTCCTGCCTTGTGATGCTGGAACACCATAACTGCCAGAGATACAAAGCATTTGTACACTGGCTAATTAAGCACTCTGTACATTTCATGGCCAGGTTTTGAAACCCAGTACATCTGCCAGTATGGGATTTTTTTTTAGCTAGCACTCCAGCTGCATTTCTGAAGATAGTTCCAAGATTTTTCACAATATGTTCCCATACTCTTAAAATTAATAAGCCTGTCAGTCAAACTGAGGAATGATACTTGCAGTATAGTGAATGATTTTCCAGTTACACATCTGCATCCCCTTAGATGCCATAATCTTTTGGGTTTTGTTTTTTAGACTCAAGTTAAGCTTTGTAGTAGTATTAAAAATTCAAAGTTCCACTGACATCACAAACTTTTTATATGAACTTCTTAAAAAAGAGCACATCTTTGGCAGTAGTTAGCATTGTCTTACAGTAAAACTCTGTGTTTTGTATATGGTTAAAACAGCAAACTTGAGGTCACTGATACATCTTTCTTGGGGAATTCTGTCTCTTTTTGTATGTAAATAGCCTGAATTACTCATTCTGCAGTGATGGGGCAGGTCTTGGATTTGACATTTGTCAAGCAGGGTATTGCAATGTTTTATGTTGACACATATCCTGTATGAGAACTCTTGTCATTCAAGATGCATGCAAGTGTATAATCCTGTTGATGTCATTTTAAACCAGTGTCTTGTAGACAAATGTATGAAATTAAGAACTTGTGGGAGGGGTGGTTTGTCTGCATAGGTAAGAAAACCCTTGAGGGAGCAAATGGGAGCACTAAGGTCTGGCCTGCATGCCATCCCACTGATTTGGGGATTTAGGGATTCACCTCTAGTGCCTTATCAAACAGGCACATGTTATTCCACACTTTAAAAATCAGTTAAATGAGAATCTGTGGTGTCCAAGCATTTGGATATTAGCTTTGCTAATGTGCAAGCTTAGCCTTCACTCCTGGCATTTCATTGTTCCATATTGTGGTCCCTACTGTGATGTGCAGAACAAAGTTTTGGGGACCAGAGTAACCAAAGGGAATAAAACTGAAAGGAAAAGTTGGGAGGTGGAAACTTCAGGACTGCTGGTCCTTAAACACAGGCAAAGTTTCCTCCTGAAATTCACTTTAAAATATTCCAAGTGTGTACATATAAAAAGAGGTTCACAAAATTCCAGAGCTGTTCAAAGAAGAGATTCCTAATGCAAGTACTTTAAGTATAGCAGAATAAAGCTAAACATTAAGTCACTAATAAAGGTAGAAACTGGGGAAAACCCCATCTTCTGTGCCTGATAACTGCTTGGTTTTTTTTTTCTGGTTGGGTTTTTTGCATGCCTAGAGCTCTTTATAATCACCTGAAATTATTGCCAGGTATCTCACAGAGGGACTACACCCAGTACTACGATCATATCTCTAAGCAGCACGAGGAGATCTGTAGGTCCATCCAGGAGTTTTTCAAGAAACACATACAATACAAATTCTTGGATGAAGACTGTAAGTATCTTGAGGGTATCTGTGGGTATGCATCTCTCTCTTCATTGCTCTTGCTTTCACAGGGCTTGGTTCTCTTTAGCTTGGGAGGGTCTGAAAGCTCTTGTGGCTACGGCATGTTGAGCAGCAAAAGTTTGGAATTACATTGGCAACAAAAAAACCCTGAAGGAATAGGCTGGAGCTCTCCAAGAAAACACAAGAAATGAGTGAAAGATCCCTTCAAAAGGCATAATAACTTTTAAAAAAAGCTTTTCCCCCTTATACTTGAAAATAATTTTTATGCCAGAAAAGCAAGGTAGGAGATCCTTGACAAAAGGCATTCAGTAGTGAGAAGAATACTTATTTATAAAGATGTTGTCAGATGTTTGCTGCTAAATTATTGATGTATTCCTTGAATAAAGGATTTTTAAGCTTCTTTCCAAGAAGTTTTAATTATTTCTTCTAGAATATCAATGCACACCAGGTTAGGTGCCAAAACCTTTGAATAAAGGCCACAGTATTTGATACACCTAATCAGTCCAAGTAAATTGTGTTGTTCTCTAAATGTGAAGTCCTTTGCAAATTTGATTTGAAATAGTTTTCTAACATGGTTTAGTGATAATTGAATGGTGTTGCATCATGATGGGTGATCAATACTGGTGAAAAATATGATGAAGAAATTTAAATTAGGTCTGGCATGGCCCAAACTTCAGCTCAGCAAAAACCCATAAACATAAGAATTTTCTGGCAGTTTTATTGTCATGTCTAATGCTTTGAAAAGTCAACCTTTAGAAGTGTCTTTAAGCATTATTAATGGTTTTACTGATACACCAGAGAAGTCAAATAGATCTGTCCTCTCTTAACTGTCTGAAAAAGGTACTTTCAAGTGCCAGTCTCTGTTATATTGCAATTCTTAATAATTTGACTCTGCAAAGCTGCTCTGTTTCAGCCCAGAGAAGTTCTCATGGACTGTTGCTTGGAGAAGACCAGTAGAATAGTACATTAATTTAATAAGTCCATTACATTTTGAAGTAAGATCAGTAATATAGATCTGGCATTCTGATTACTGCCTTTTAATTTTCCTCTGTGTCTCAATGTAATTTTAGCTGGTATGTAATCAACTGATAGATAAGAATTCAGGGCACTCTTTTTGGAAATTGATGCCTAGATTTAGGCTCTGAAATGCCTGGCTGGTGAACTGAAAGGTCTGAAATGTCATCTTATGTAAAGGGTGCCATCTGAGTTGCCTTGAGGGAAAAGGAGGTTTCAGGGCAACCTTCTGGCATGAAGGTTTGTTAACCTTTTATTCTTAGGCACTAAATGCTGGTCCATCTGCAGAGAAATGCCATGCAGAAAATGTTTTCTGTGTTTTTGTGGGTGGGTTTTTTTTTAAAATCACATTGCATTTATCCCCCATCATCTCCCTTGATCCACTGCCTGGTAGCATATGTGTTGTTAACAATAAAAATCTGGGTTTGCTTGTTTGTTTGCTTTTAAAAGGAAAGGTATTACAGCTTTTTTCCTGACTTCTTGTTTCATTGGGGATTTTGATGCTGTTTGCTCTGCTTTTTCCAGTTGGTCTGGTAGCATCTCCAGATGGAAGAGTTGAGTCAGAGCAGCTGAAGCATTGCAGAGTCAGAGCAGTAGGATAACAGATGGGTGAATGCTTTATAAATACTTCTAAATTATGTTAGAACCATCTAAATATCTTTGGTAAGAGCCCAGTAAGAGCAATGCTCTGGAGGTGTTGATAGTGCAGAGCTGGGCTTTGGCTTTCCCTCTGTTTAGAGCAGTTTCTGGTGAAGTTTCACTACAGTCTCACTGGCACAGGCCACTCCTGCTCTGAGAGTGGGAATAATTCAGGTTTTCTTCTTGTTCAGTGTTTGTGAGTGTCCTGAACCAGTCACCAGAGTGCAATCAGTCTCAATTCCAGCTGTGTGAATCCCAATAAATACTGCTAGCCCCAGTGAATAATACCATGGGCTTGCTTTAGGCTGACAGGCCTCACAATAGAAACCCTCAGATGCAAGGGATATCTTTTGGCTATGACTAAGGAGAGGATGTGGTGCAGGCACTAAAAGTTCAGCTGAACAGCTGGAGAAGAAATCCTGGGGTTCCTGCAACCCCCTTTGCATTGATGGCTGGCTTAGCCACTGAGGGCTTCTCTTCCTGGGAGAGCAGAGCACTTAATCCTGGAGTGCCTTTGGCATTGACACAGCCCAGCTTGTGCAAAAGCTGTGAGGATTTTTGGGCTGCATGGTAAAAACCAGCTACGTGACTGGCTTTGGCTTTATGGAGTTGTGGTTTGCCCTTAGCCCAGCCAACTTCACATGAAATGTCAGATTAAGCTTTACATGCAGGGATGGGATCAGTCAACATCCCTGTTCCTGACAGGCAGCTTCCTGAGACTCAAGTGTTCTGCAGTCACATCCTGAGTTTAATTTATCCACATGTATTGGGAAATCTCTTAGCTGAAATATTCCCTTATTAGTGAAGGAAGTAACCATATAGCACTTGTCTGAGGCTTTCTAAATTTTTTTTCCCTTTCTTCCTGCTAAACTGGTACAAGTTTTGCATGTAGCCATGTCTGAGTGCTTCCCTGTTGATTTCCCTAGCTCAATAGAAAGACAGCTCAAAGGTTTGTTTAACCATACAGAACAGGAGCTGATGGAAAGCTGCATATACAGAGTCATGTTTAATTAAGCCAAGGGGAGGAACAGCAGTGGAGCCAGGCAAGGCAGCTTTTAGTCAGTCACTGAGTGGCAAGGGAGTTGTTGGAAGGATTTGTTGATATTAATTAGGTGTGCTGTGTCTGCTCTGGGTGACATCAAACATGGCCATTTCGCTGCCACTGACCCCTTTGTTCCTACAACCTGTTTGTCTTGTTAGCTGCTGAAATTCTAGTGTCTGGAGCAGGAACCTTCTCTTATTAAATGTTTGTGCAGTGTCCAACACAATGAAGTCTTGATCCTTCCCTGAAACGTCTCTGTTCTGCTCTAAACAAAACAGCAGTAATGTCAAGGATAAGCTCTCTGGGCTAAGAGTTTATCAGATATTCTTCATGGGAGAAAAATCAACAGAAGAAACCAGCATTAAATGGAAAAACCCAGCAGCTGATTTCCCAGTGCATTAACAATAGTTCTTGAAATGTTTCAGCTCCCTCTTAGAAGTATAGCCAATTCTGGCTTGCAGTTCATTAGACATATTGACTTTGCAGATTGTGCTGTGTACACAAGTATCTATTCAGATTTAGACATCTTCTGTGAAATTATATATCTTTTACAATTAACATTTTTTTCTCCTTTTCAGTTGTTTTTGATGTGTACAGAGACAGCAGGGTAAGTGAACAATAGGTTGTCTATAATTGTTTCTTCTCTGAAAACTTGAAATGTTACAAAGATCAAGCAAGTAATAGCTTTGTCTTCCTAGAAGTGGTCCTGGAAAAAAACAGCCAAACAAACAAAAAAATACCACTAAAGTAAAAACCCTGACCAAACAGAAACACCAAGCAAAACCTACTTGATGTTAATCTGTTCCACAGATCTTTCTCTGTGATAAATGCTGTCTACAGAAGGAGAATAATAGCATTAGGGGTGTAAATATGTCTGTGCTAGTGATGTAATTATTTAATTAGTATCTTCCAGAGGAGTTGTCTGTTCTAAAGCACAGAACTTAGGCTTTGACTGCAATCTTCTCAGTTCTGTGAATCTACAACAGGCAGCTTAGTTTTTATTATGACATGAGAGTCCTTGCTGCAGTAATTTAGAGTGGAATAGATGATTTCAGGTGGAAGGGACCTACAGTGGTCATCAAGTCCTACTGCTTGACCAGTTCAGGGCTGACTGAAAATTAAAAGCATGTGGTTATGGGTGGTGTTCCCAGGCACATGGTGGGATTTGTGGGGCTGTCCTGTGCAGGGCCAGGAGCTGGACTCAGTGGCCTTGTGGGTCCCTTCCAACTCAGGATATTCTGTGACTCATGAAGGGCATGCTCCAAATAGCTTTCAAACACACAAATGGGTTTGAGGCATTTTCTTTTAAGACGTATATTTCCTTGGGCTTTATTTCTTTTTTCCCTGTGTTTGTTTTTTCACTACAGCATTTGAACTCATCGAAATTATCCTTAACATTTCTTCAGATTATCCTTGTGAGATTGGGAAATGGTTCATATCTGGAAGCCTAGGATAGGGATAATTGTCTAGGATAGGGATAATTGTGTGAATGTGGTGTGCCCAGTTTGTGACAGATGGAAGCCAGTTTTTTCTTTTCAGGCTGCTCCAGCTGTGGTTCTGAGAGTTGGGCAGATCAGAACCCTCAACATCCAGACAGTGATGGAGTTGGGGAGAAGCATCCCACCTCAACTTCTTGAAAGATATGTAGGTGTAGTGTTTAGGGGTGTGGTTTAGGTGTGAACACAGAGGTGCTGGGCTAAGGGTTGGATTTGATGATCTTAAAGGACTTTTCCAACCTAAATAATTCTATAGAGGTGCCAGTATCAGAGTTAGTAACCTTGACTTCTCCTAGTGTGACTGGGGAGAAATATTTGGTCAGATGAATTGTGCTTGAAAGGCTTGATTGGAGAGAGTCTTTATTAGAGTTGAGTGTATTGGGAGTAAGTCCTGATTCTCATTCTGAATGTTGTTTTAGTATTTTGTAATTGTGTAACAGTAAATCATGCCATAGTTTACAAAACGGGAACTGTGTCTCACGTGGAAAACAACGACTGCACCATTTCTCAATTTCTCAGCCCAGCTTTTAATGTAGGTACCTAAAACAAAGCTGTGGGCTAGAGCAGCTCTGCTGTAATTGAAATTACCTGCCCAGGCTCAGATTGACAGACATGAGGATGCTGTCAGGGAAAATGAGGAGCAGCACTTGAGCATTGAACCAGTTTCTGCCGTTGGGTGCTCTGCCTCGTAGCTGAGGCATGAAGAGAAATTACTTAAGTAAATGGTTTCAGCCTGTGGTATCTCAAATGAGCAGTGTTTCTTCATCTGTCAAGATAAAATATATCTGTTTGTAGATTTCTCTCGGTGGATTCTACCCTCAGGTCTTGTAAACTGCCAGCTAGCCCTTTGTGTGTCAGATGCTTCTCCTTTCACACGTACTATTGTGGTTTGCAACTGTGTTATTCATCGCTCCCTTGGCGTGTGAGTTACAGGCAGCACAAGAATATTGTGAGCATGATTAATTTCCAGAGCCCGTGCTCCTCATCAGGCTGGTTGCACAGCAACCTCACCTACAGAAGGAGGGAAATGTTCACTGACTGCTTGTTTTAAAGCCTTTCAACTCTAAATATTCAGCTTGGAGAAGCAAGTTGTTGTTACTGTTGTAAATGACAGCAGTCTCCTCCCCGTGCTCACTTCAGTTGCTTTAGAGCTGTCTGGAGTTAGCTCCACAGGTCCTGCTCACTGAATTGGAGGGGGGAGTTCACAAAAGCCTGAGAGTTGGCTCTGCTGTTGCTCTTTGCTGTCCCCCAGGTGTGAACAGCAAACCAAGTTCAAGACAAGTCACTGTGCTAAGACAGAGCAGTGCAAGGAGTGGCTGCAGATCACTGCTGGCTCCCAGCTCTTGAAAAGGAGCAGAGCAGTGCTTGTGTCTGTGCCTTGTGAGCATTGGCACTGTGCAGGAAGGTGCAGCTGGAGTTAGGGAGATGTAACAGTTAAGTTTGCATTTTATCTGTCTGACTTCCTTTAACCAACAGGCTTTGTCATGGGCGCTTCCTTTCAGTGCCCTGCTGCTTAATGCCTTAGCAAAAAAAACCATGAAGCTGACAGGGTGTGGTAAATCTATTGATTCCTTCTTCTAGGATGAGAAGAAAACACCATGTAGGACAAGTAGGGGAATTTTTTTCCCCTCCACTTATGCACAACATTTTTTTTTTCCTGGCTCGTGCATTTCTCTGGTCTTGTACGGCAAAGATTGCTAATAGCAGGCAAAAGACAGCAGACAAATAGCCTTACTACTGCTTTTTAGATACACAGTGCAAATTATCTGAAACTGTATTTAAATCATGGCATTGCATGTAAGACTTGAGAGAGAATTTCATCTTAAGAAAAGGCAGTTTGGTTACTGACCCAGGGTTATAGACACTCCTTTTAATGAGCCCTCAAAAGAGAGATTGAGTTTGTTTTGCCACTTGTCATCAATTTGCAGCTAGCAAAGCTCAGTGCAGATTTAAAACCATCTCAAGGAAACAACTGTTGCACTGCTGTCTGCAGGGGTGGAGGAACACTGCTGGGTGCTCACAAAAAAAACATGTTGCTTTCAGTAGTCTCAGAATCAATTTTCAGTTTTTTCCGGGTACATTTATTCTCTAGAAAAACGACCTTAATGTTCCTGAGAAAAAGCTGAGCTGGATGTATTTGGGATGAAGAGGAATTTCTGTGAAAGCCTTTCATAGGGAAGTATTAGGTAGAAATATTTCTGATGCAAGGAAAGATTCTCTGAACTGCTGAATGAACTTTGCCAGCCGTTGCTTCTGTGTGTGATGAAATTGGTTCATTAGCTTGTTTTTCTGGAGTGATAGAATGAATAGAATCTAAACCCACAGATTCTTGGAGCTGACAAGACACCCCCATTAGCAAAAGTAAAAGACTGTTTATCATGAGAATTTGAGGAGAACCAGGGATGGGAAAGGACAGCAGAGCTTGCCCCACTGGCTCTCTGCTCTGGTGGTGCCAATACTTGTGCAGGGGTGTTGCAGCTCAACCACGCAGATCTGGGCTTGCTCACCCTTCCAGAACAAATCAGAAACCACTCAGCTCTGTGCCCCCCAGTTTGTAGTTTCTTTTGTAGCTGTCTGGTTTCAGCACTTTTGTTTCTGTGCTTTGGCTTCTTAAAATGTGCTCAGTGAGAGCTTAGACCTGCCCTGAGACAGACACCTGTGAAAGCCTGTGTGCAACCACAGCTCCCTGCTGGGCTGCTGGCCCCGCTCCGGCCTGCAAGTCATAACCAGTGCTTTCATCTCTGCTGGGACTCCCCACACCTGCAGCAGGAGCTCACTGGGGATGGTAACAGAGGCACCAGGACATTTCTGCTCACAGGTTTGCATCACTTGCAGTCCCACAGAGTGTCAGTGCCTGTGGGACAGCTCAGGGTGGGGGAGGCAGTCTCCCTGTTACTCTCTGCCGACGCTTCCAAAGCATCTTTGTGTGCTAGAAACCAGATGGCTGTAGTGTAAATAATTGAATGTATTTCCTGCTTGAATCAAGATAGGCAAGATCTTTCAAAGCCAGAAGATCCTTCAGAAAAGAGGAGAGAGCAAAATTAATGTTTAGTAGCTACATAGTCTCCAGGTTTGTTTTCCAATTCCAGTTGATCTTTATTATAAACACAATAAAACTCTTCAGCCCTGCTTATATTACTGCAACTTTTTCCTTCCCTGTTTGATAGAACTCATTTCTTCCAGATGTAATACTGGTTTTGCAAATCTTTACTAGCAGCTGTAGTCACATTTCCTTATAATTTATTAGTGTTTTATTTTATTAGAGTAGTTGATACTTCCTTGGGCAAGAGAAGATGGCCCAGTGCTGGGGGTGTCTCTTGAAGTGCCTCAAGGAACACAGACTGTTTCTTCCTCCCCCACATGTCTGTTACTTCTAATACATCTTGTCAGTCTCTGCTTTCGTTTTTCAGTTGTAAAGCAGCTGTGCTGTTGTGCACCCTACCACAACTGTTTGGAACACAGATGTATTAAAGCTGAGATAGAAACTAGTGTGGACTGCTAGTAATGGCTATATTAAAAAAGCCTTTAAGTTATTCATTATTTATCTATGTCTCTACAGCATCTTTGAGGTTTCATGAGCTCCACCATTTTGCAGACCCTGCTCTTTGTTTTTAGGGTCCCTTGTAACACCAAGAATAGCAATTTTTCTGGAGTGCTGGATGGTGCAGTGTTGCTGAGGTGGTTTTTCATGGAAAGCAAAATTCCTGTGTGGGTTGTTTGGGGTTTTTTTGTTTGTTTGGTCGTGTTTGCGTTTGGGTTTTTTTTGTGGTTTTTGATTAGTGCTCTCCCCTGTTCCTTGTTCATTCTTTCTGGCCATCTTGGTGGATCATGGGGATTAGCCAGAACTTTGGTGGGCTCATCTGAAAACATTCTGGCATAGAACTAAATTCAGTTTATTTGAGCTCTCTCTGATCTTCTATTTAAAAAAAAATCAAAGTAAATTAATACATGATAGCTTGCTGTGATATAAAACTCTATGAGGTAAGGATGTTAGAATATTTTAAATGTTTAAACCCAGGTAGTTTCAATTTTGACATCTTTTTATCTAAAGACCAAGCATATTACAATAATCTGACTATATGTGTATTTTGACTTTTTTTTTCTTTTCTCTTGTTTGCTTTGTTTTAATTCATCTGTGGTTCCTTTGCAGGGTAAGATTTGGTTAATAGATTTTAACCCATTTGGTGAAGTAACAGACTCCCTGCTCTTTACATGGGAAGAACTCACCTCTGGAAAAAACTTGAAAGGAGACCAGAGTGAAGGGGAAGCAACAGAACAGGTGAGGAAGGCTGAATAACATCCAACAGGATTTATGGCCTTATTTTTGCTTTCTTTTGCTCTTACAATCAAATTGTGATGCAAATTCCATTGAAGTAAAGGAAGCTCCTGTGACATGTAAACTCTTTGTAAGTAGAATCTACCTTAGAGTTAATCTCAACAAGTGTCACCTGCTGGTTTTAGATGCCTGCAAGGGAATTTTTAGTTCAAACAGTACAAGCCCATATTGCAGCTTTGACCCCATTGCAAAGAAGATGCCCTGAACCTTGCTTTTACACAGTTTTAATGCATTCCTTCCAGTTTGCCTTAAAATCTATTACTCTTCTATATAGTTACTTAAATTTCTACTTGGTTCTTGATATCTGTCATGCAGTTTCCCACATCTCCAGTTTTATGCTTGGGGGAAGACAAGCAGAAACTCAGAAGCTTAACTTCTGTCTCTTCCTCCTCTGGAATACCCTTAGCAAAGCCTTGTCCTCTGGTTGAACTCCCAGGACTTGCAGAACAAGGCTTTCTATCCCTCTTCCAAGCCACATTTCCTCTGTAAAAACAACTAACTTCCCATTAATACAGAAAGGGAGAAACAGACTTTATTTTTTGTATTCCAGCTTTTTTTTTTCTCACTGCATCTTGAGACAGAGACCTCACATCCTAACAAGTCCTTGGGCAGCTGGGAAGGAGATAGGAAGTGGTGTGTTAATGGATCCTGGGTTATTTTCTGAGGAGAGGTGGCTGGCCAGTGTGGGCTTTTCTTTATTTCCTGGCTGTTGAACTGCATTAGAGGTCACTGAAATGACAAACTTCATTGAGCTGATTTTAACATGACTTTAGTCCTGTGGCCCTTTCCATAACACATTGACAGGGACACCCCACTCCAGGCTGTCCTTCAGGCCATTGCCTCTGTCTCACCCTGGGGCTGTTGCTGTATGAAAACCATTCCATGAACCCTCCTGTGAAAATCTGTGTCTCCTTTGTTAGAACACACTCCCAATTCAGAGCTGTCTGTGGGACACATGAATTTTCATTCTGCAATTTCTTTTTCTCGTTGCCAGATGCTTTGCACAGTTTTCTGTAGTTCAGTCTTGGATGAAAGGTAGAACAACTTGTCTTCATGTTTCATCTGACATCCAGCCATGTAATCTGGTGTAAAGTTGCTGATCTTTCTTAAAATGAAGCTGTTTATTGCAGTACAGCATGTCAGTGTGTTGAACTGAAAATTGTATCATTCTCCAAAACCTGTTGCTACAATTCAGCATTTAGAGATCTTTTTGGCCCTTTTATAGAGGTTTTTTTTTCCTTCAGTAAGTAAGTTGGTTGGAAAATTTAAATTATAATTTCAGTAAGGTTATAGTTGCAAATGTTTTTAAACTGTGAAGACAAATCTAGGGGTTCTATCAAAAAGATTTTCTCTATCCAGATATGTATCTAGATACTATTGCCCAAAGTTCCTTATAGCTTCATTATTACAGCACTGTCACAAGCATGAATTTATTAAATGCATTAATAACTGATGCACTGTAGAAACTTTAAAGTGAGGTAATGAAAGCCATTATTTGACTGTTTAACATGTTTGACATTTCAAATTGCTCCTAAGTGGGCAGGGGTTTTATAAGAAAGCTACAATTTTTAGAAAGCTCAAGTTTAGTTGAGTGAGTGCCAAATAAACTCATTGGCAGCGTGACTCAGTCTCAGGAGGAGTCCCAGGAACATTTCATATTCATGTCCACTGTTCTTATCCCCTTTTCCAAAGGATTATCCAGTGTTCCGTTGTACCAACAGCAAAGTCACCGTCCAGCCCAGCCCCTACCTCAGCTACCGACTGCCCAAGGACTTTGTGGACCTTTCCACAGGAGAGGATGTTCACAAACTGATTGACTTTCTAAAACTGGTAAGAAGTAGCAGGAAAAATTCTCTGACCTTCTACCTTTGTCAAATGGAAACACCAAAATCCCTGGATCTGTGCTTTTGTTACTAACAAAGTGTAGAAAATTACAGAAAAAGCAGTGTATGAAGCCATCACACAATGTATTGTTGGGTTCATTGTTTCTGAAGTGATGAAGAACAAGTTTTTTACTGCTCTCACTTTGCTTAATTAATTTTATTTTTATGGGAAGCAATGAATGTATTTTGACAAATCTTACTGAAGGACTGAGTTGTTTCCTTTCTTACTGAAATATAAATATGAATGTAGTATGAATGGAAATGTGCTTTTTGAATGCCTGGAGCTAATGCTTTTAACTTTTAATGTTTTCAACTTTTTTCTTTAAAAGTTACAAGACAAATATATTAGGAAAAACCACAATAGAGTTGTTCCTTTTTCAGTCTGCTTTCTTTGTTCTTTTAATGCACAGTGGCATGAAGACATGAGTAAGTTATGAAAGGGGAGGGCAGGTTACCTGCATCTGTATCACTGACTCTTGCCAGCACTGTGATGTTTTCTGGTTCTTGTGTATTCCATGAGTTAATGGACTAGGCAAATCTTGTTCTTTACTGGAAATAAAATCCTATAGTTCAGGATGAGAGAGAGGGTTGATATTGCTCTGTTCCATTTGCTGAAAAATTATCTCTTACTGTTCCAAAAAATCACTTAGAAATGCAGTCACTGTCTAATCCATTGTATCTGGAACACTTGACATGATTTATTGGTGCTCTTACTTCGGATATCTGTGTCCTAACATTCTGAACTCTCCTGTTCTGTTGACAGAAAAGAAATCAGCAAGAGGATGACTGAGGTACCCAGAAGCATTACATTGAATTACAAGCAAGAAATGTGGCAAAATCTGTATTTAGCATAACTATTAAACTATTGATTTAAAGAAAACCTGCTTTTTATAGTTAATGAAAGACCTGAAGAGCTGTTCATCCCCAGTGTCTGTTGGTTTATAGAAAAGTGTAGGGAAGCTTTTTCAGGGAAACATGAAAGGTCAGGGTGAGTTCTCACTGGATTCCAGGTGCAAAGAAGCAACAGCCTGAGTGCAGCTGAACAAGTGCTTTCCATTTCTCATAATGTGAGCATTGATGCCACTGAGCTACGCCTTGGGACTCCCCAGTGTAAATATGGCAACACACAATGCTTGTGCAGTAACAACACGGAGCATTCTCTGCATTTAGGCACTGTCTTGCTTCATATGTAGTCACAAAGAAAAAGGAATGTACCTTTTTATCTGTAGTAACCTTTTAAAATTGTAAATTGATTTTGTTTTGGGAGCACTTCTCTTTATGTAAAAAAAAAAATTAAAAATGGAGAAGGGATTTTTTTCTGTGTTACAAGGACTAATATTTCATTTCAGAGAACAGCTATAGCTGTAGTAAACTACTTAAAGTTTGGAAATCTTACATATTGGGAATTTGAAATTCTGAATGCATTTAAAGTAAAGTAATATTTTCACAGTTGCTGAAGTGAAAAGAAATTCATTTAACTTCACCAAATTTCATTTCATTTTCATAGTAAAGCTTTCTTGAAACCTGTTTTTTTTAACATGATTACATACTAGACATCATCTGTGACTTTAATCTACATAATTAACATCAACCTATAATTTTATATACAGACTCAGTCTTCTTTCTTTTGTGTCATATCTCTGAGTTTCTTAGGAAAGCAATTATTCTTTCAGCTCTTAAAATTCTGTATTTGTTTGGTACTTCATGTTTTTTTGTATAAAGGGAAGCTTGGCTAAATCTGGGGAAACAGAAGCTGTTGTTACCAATTGCTGTTGTTTGGGAGGTGGGGGAGGACAGTTTGAGGTGAATCACCAGCTGACTTTTGGATATAGGTGTTTGTATGACATCAGTAATTTATTAAGAGTGTGCAGATGCCCATTGAAACAAAAGGACATTTGAAGAAGCTCATAACCCCTGGAAACTGGTTCCTATTTCAGACCAGTTATGTGATACTCTGTGTGTGTGTGTCTAAAGCTGTTTGTGTTTCTTTGCCTTGCTTTTGCTGTCAGATTGGAATGGTGCTTGGTTACAATCTGTTCTTGGATGTTAAATCTGAGCTAAGTTGTTAAATTATTACCTAATGTCTTTATTTAGCTTCTGTTTTGAATGAAAACTTACTCGAGTTAAAGATTATGCAGATTGAGAATCCACACATTGATGAAACATCACAGATGAAAGCTCCTGGAGTCAGAACAGTCTGCCCTGAATTGAAGCATTGTTTGAAGCATTGGAACCTGCTTCTCAATAGCTTTTTGTATTCAAATTAGATGATATTAACTCAGGGCTGGGCTATACCTAATCCTCCCATACTGCAGGATTTTGGATGAGTATTTTTCACCCTCACCAGAGAGATAATTTCAGTATAAATATCTCTAAATTGGTAGGAACCTCAAAGTGTAAAAAAATAAAGAAAGCTTTCCTCTTCGTTTTAAAGTTTCTAGCCATAATTTAAACTATTGTGATGATCTAACCACACTTCTTCCTTTACACAGATGGTGCCCTGGAACTTCCAATGGACCCATAAATGCTTCTAAACTACAGATTATTGTTTTTAAAAACAAAGTCTTAGTTTAAAGCTGGAAGATAGTTTCCCACCTCTTCCATGTAGACTCCACAAATTAATTTACCACTTTTTCAGCTGTCTTTGCTGAATGTTCACCAGAACATATTTGGTGATGGGACCAGTTTGTTGGGAGCCTGTGCACTCTGGAGTGTCCCTTTAGGTGGGTAGGCTTGAGTTTTTCTCCTCTGTGAAATCTGAATTCATGGGCTGCTCAGCCAAGCTGAACTGCAGTTTAGAGTTGCAGGAGCTTGTCCTGCTTCCTTTGGGCTAACTCCTAGTGAAGCACCTTAAAAGGCAGCAGAGCAAAAATACTGGTCCTATGTTCAGAACTGGTACAGAAACAATCCCCAATATAAAAATGTAATCTACAGGATCAGGTCCCCCAAAATGCCATATCCTTACAGTTTAAATACCTACTTCAGATGCACTTTGCTTTTTTCCCCAACTTCAGGTAATCAAACAGTGAATTTTATTTGGCTGTTAAATTAAAGATTCCTCTTCTAAAAGAATTTTCACTCTATATGTCCTTTTGATCTCCTAGGATAATTAACATTTTCCCTTTGGGGAGCAGAGGGGGCTAATGTTGGTAGATTAAAAATGCTTCAGATCAATTTTACACTGAATAGTACATCACACCTTTCTATTTCATCATAAAAGCAGTTTCTGCCTCTAGCCATCATATACAGAAATTTGAAAATACAAATTTCCAGTTGTTCAGGTCCTTGTTCATGGGATTTAATTACATCATCACCATTTGCTGAGTAAAGGCTAACTGTATACTATATATTCCTAATTATATGCTTAAAACACAGTGTGAAGATGCTTGCAGTCTCATCTAGATGACAAACAGAAGTTTCAGAGGGAGGTAACATGCAGTCATTTTATACAGATCCTGTGCCTGCCAAACCCTGCAGCAGTCTGGCTTAGTCTGATGGCTCCAGCAGTGAGATTCAATTCCTGGGCTGCAGCTCTGCCAGGAGTGCCAAGGAAAAGTCCTCAGAGTATCACAGCCAATGCTTGTGATGTTTAATCTCCCTGAGAGATAGTGGGGATCAGGATTCCTGTAACCCCATAAGCAGCAGTTGTGAACATGTCCTGGCTTAGTTGAGGATTTGGAGTAATGCTCCTGTCCCTCTGGGCTTCAGACTGTCCATGCTGTTTGTTCTCTTTTGAGTCTTCTTTCTCCAGTGTTGTCCAGGTCTTTCCTCATCCCTCAGCCTCTTGTTTGGATAAATATTAAGATCAGAATTGGTAGCAGCAGCAGCATGGATAATACTGGGCTGAATTTTAAAACCTCTCTCTATGCAATTTTCCCTCCCTCTTACAAAGACACTTTTTTGAGTGGTGCTCTATAATACCTAAAAAAACCCCTAAACTCTAAAAGCAGGGGAGAAATACCCAGGTCCGAGTCTCAGTAAAATCAGTAGCACTTGTTGGATGCTGATGACAGATTGTAAAAATCCACATCTGACACCCTTGGCTAGAAATGTCACCTGTCTCATTGTTACATACTCACCTGCTGCCCATGTCCAGGGTGCAGAGGAGAGGTGCCCTGTGAGATGCAGTTCAGGTGCTCATTTGAACAACAGAGACCCTTAGACACTCCTGCTTTCAGGCTTTCAGGTGAGCATTGCCAGGTGAAAGGACCCCAAACCAGATCAGGGACACTGTGGAGATGGGTAATGCATGGCACAAACCATTGTAAAAATCCTTCTGTACCTTTGTGCATGGCTGAGTTCAGCTTTCACAAACTGTTCCAAATGTGAAGTGTCAGATGGCCAGAGAGGAGCACAGGGTGTTTGTTAGTGAGCATTAATAGTCAAATCAGCTTGGCAACTGGTCATTGATTTTAACCTTAGAGGCCAGAAGTATCAATTCTGGTTGTATTTGGACACATGTTACATTTTGTACATTAGTTCAATAAATAATACTGAACTAAAATACATCTTTTTAGCCAAGAGAAGATGGACCTGAAGTGTAACACAGAAACAGACCATGGTGCTTTTGATTCATGAAGGACACTTGGTAACACTGATACTTAATAAATCTACCTTAGCAAAAGCTTCTCTGGATGTTGAATGAACAGTGTCCTCTATTTGAATTTGATGACTTCTGTAAAGAGACAGTCTCCAACTTGTGGTAATCCTAATATTAGAGCCAAAATAAGACTTGCTGCCATAACTGCTGTATCTGGTGTAATCTTGAAGCTTTCTCAAAGATACAGAGCCCTTAAACAGTTTTATATTATTACAGGATTTTGTAATAATAATGACATTGGCGCTACAGTAAGTCTGGTTTTGGGTTTTTTTGGTTCTTTCTTTTGGGGAGGGCAAACATCCTGTTACCTTTCTTCATGTGAGCTAATGCAGCAGTGGGTATCCTACCTGGCTATCAATGGTGTTCTGATTTCTCTAAGGCCCTCTGAGCACCTGGCCAGGCTTCTGCCAAGGATGTGTTTTGGCAGCTTGTAGGGAAAGGTTGCTTGGCTGGTTGGTCATAAACACTGAGTGCTCAGGGCCTTTCTTCAGGGAAGGTTGCAAATTACAGCTGAACTTCCAGGAGAGGTTTGTGGCTCCTAAACAGCATTACTGTCCAAAAGAGAAAAAAGAAATCAATTCTTATTTCTAGTCTTTAGGGCTCAAATCCAGCTGGTGGAGGGGCTTGAAATTTGGGGTTCTGATTGGCTTCTGCTATGAAACTGTGTCCTGACAGACTGTAGCACTTCATTGATGTAAATGAATTATTCATGGGAGCTGGGACTTCAATATCCAGGAGAGAGAAGGAACATGTGAAGCTAAAATGTCTGTAAGCAGTGTGAGGAATGCACGGGAGGAGCTCAGTGCCAGGAGTGATTGATGTGCATTTCAGTGACTTTGGAGATGAATGGCAGCACTGCATCACAGACCTGTCTGTTGCTCAGGAAGGGCTGGGGGCACTGTGCTGAGCACCAAGAGTGTATTTCCAAAGCTTGGGAATCACAGAATGGTTTGGGTTGGAAAGGAATGTTCCATGTCCTCTTGTCCCCAAACACTTCAGGAATGGGGTACCCACAACTTCTCTGAGCACCTGTTCCTGTGCCTCAGCTACTTCATCATGAAAAATTTCTTCCTTAATGTCAGTCTAAACTGATCCTCTTTCAGTTTAAAGCTGGTGCCCTTTGTCCTGTCACTACAGCCCCTGGTAAAAGTCTGTGTTTACTCTAAGCCCCTTTGAAGTACTGAAAGGCTACAATATGGTCTACCCAGAGCTTTCCCCACCTCCCTCAGCCTTTTCTCAGAGGATGGGTGTTCCAGCCATGGGATCATTTCTGTGGCCTTCCTCTGGCTTTGCTCCAGCAGGTCCCAGAGCTGGATGCAGCACTGCAGGAGGGGTCTCACCAGAGCAGAGCAGAGGGTCAGAACCCCTGCCTTGATCTGCTGCCCACAGTGCTGGGGATGCAGCCCAGGACACGTTTGGCTCTCTGGGCTGGAAGTGCATATGGCTGGCACTTGGGCTCAGTTTTTCATCCACCAGCATTTCCAAACAACACTTGAGAATTTGTTGGGAAAGTGCCTAACATGGGAAGACTTGAAAAGACAGAGAGTTAATAGAATTTTTTCAAGAGGACTGTTTGCATTTCAGGAGGTACAGGGTGTTGTTATTCTGGAGTTAACTGTTCTGGGTTGCAGTCAGGCTTATTTGAAGCTTAAAACTTTAAAAGTCAGAAGTAATTCAGGTGGAAGTGGCCGTGGAGTTGGCATTTGGTGCAGAGAAGCAGAATAAGGACCTCAAAAAGCAGTTTTGGTAAGTGTGGGTGTTGATGCCTGGATCCATTTGGGAGAGGTGGGTGGGATAACTGAAGAGAGGTGCTTTATAATGGCCCATCAGCAGTGTCCTAATGTGAAGGGAAAATGGCACAGCAAGGGCTTCTAAGGATCAATCAAAATGAAAGCTGCGGAAATCTGAAGGAAAGACACATGATTAAGTGAGAAAAAATGAGAGGATGGGGAAAAATGACAGATGATTCAGAGAAAACTGATGCTGTTAAATGTTTTCTTTGCCTCACTATACTTTTTTTCCCTTTTTCAAGGAAAAGAAGAAATGAAGCAAATTAACACAATTTAGCAGAAAAATAGCTCTTGGTATAAAGGCAGAGAGGGCATTGTGAGACCCCTATACATTTTATTTCAGGGTCTGTATTTTTCCATATCTTTGTTAATGGCTGGAGCAGTAAAATAAATAGCCTGTATAAAAATCCATGGCTGGCAGTGACTTGAGAATACACTCAGGCACTTTGGAGGTTTGTATCAGAATTTGAAATGGCCATAATAGACAGGAAAAATGGCCTGAAATAACTAGAAGAAATTTGATAAAGGCAAGTGCAAAGAGCTGTAGTTAGGAGGAGAAATCAGACATTTGAGTAGAAATGGGTGAGAGCTGGCAGAGCAGCAGTGCAGTGGGAGTGGATAAGTTACAGTAGAGACCATTAAATGCAAGGTGATAATAAGCTGTTGGGGGAGGATAAAGGCAGGTGTCATTCTGGGCTAGCAGGAGAGAGGGGTGGAAAAAATGAGAGATTATTTTGTTTGATGAGAGGATGGTGCAGTGAGATGTGTCGCTTTAGGCACGATGTTGCAAGAAATACCTGGGTCACTGGAGAGTGGCCAAGAGTGAATAAAGAATCACAGAATAATTCAAGTCAGAAGGGATTCATAAGGATCATTGAGCCTGGCTCCCTGCTCCTCACAGGGCTACCTAAAGTTAACTGTGTGACTGAGAGCATCATGCAGACCCTCCTTGAATGCTGCCAGGCTTGGTGCTGTGACCATTTCCCCAGGGAGCCTCTGCCAGTGCCCAGCCACCTCCTCAGTGGAGAACCTTTTCTCAGAGTTCAGGCTGGACAGCATCCCCAGAAGGGAAATGTGGCTGGGAAATTGGGATAAAAAGGAGGCTGCATCCTCCAAGAATTGTAGAGATCCCAGGGGAATGGCCCATGGCCCCCCTGTCCTGCTGCTGGTCACCAGAGGGGACACCAGCACCTCCACCTCCCCCCTTGAGAGATGTCTCTCTTCAGTCTCCTCCAGGCTGAACAAACCAAGTGACCTCAGCTGCTCCTCACAAGTGTTGCCCTTGGGAGGAATAGCAGATTTGTCTTTAAATACAAGCTGTGGGTCTGCTGGTAGATAAAACTAGCTCTGCAAGATAAAAGAAACAATGGGAAGGATTCCACTGGTTGATGAATGGGAAAAGATATTTGCTTTTACAAATAAACTTTAGGTTTGCTGATAAATGAAATTAGACACTGAGAGATGAAAGAAACAGTAGGGAAGAAAAAACCCTAAATTCCATAAGAATTAAAAATTAAAAGGGAGGGTTATACATTAGAGGGAAATCTTTGGTATCAGGTGTTTTGGGAAGTCTGTACCTCTCGAGTACCTCGGCCAATGGGGAAAGAGAGAAGGGAAATGTGGCTGGGAAATTGGGATAAAAAGGAGGCTGCATCCTCCAAAAATTGGAGAGATCCCAGGGGACTGTCCCATGGCCTCTCCCTTTACTCAAATGCAGAAAGGACTCCTCTGTCTCCTTTTTGGACATAAACCTCTGGCGTTTGTAGATTAATTTTCCTAACACCCTTGAGACCTTTCCCCATCTTAGTCACCCTCCTCTGGACACACTTGAATAGTTTGATGTCCTGCTCACATTGTGGTGCCCAAAACTGCCCCCAGGACTGCAGTGAGGCTGCCCCAGTTGAGAGCAGAGCAGGATAATCCATCCCCTCCCTTACCTGAGTGGTGCCTGATGGATCCCAGCACATGGCTGGCTCTCCTGGCTGTTAGAACTCATTGTTCACTCATATTTCACTTTCCACAGTTGTGTAGATTCAGAAGATCCCCCTGAGCCTTCTCTTCTGTACATGGATCCCTCCCAGCTCTCCCTGCCTTTCCTCACAGGAGAGATGCTGCAGTGCCAGACATTTCTCCAAGGAGCACCCTAGAAATGGTGGACAGCTTTGAACTCAAATTGCTTAGAAAAAACAACTGCAATCATGAAACATGTTTTTCTAACTGCACTGGATGTCAGGCTCTAATCCCAGAAGGAACAACTTGGCCTGTGATACCATCTTTGGAGGCCTATGCAGGGTAGAAAGGGGCAAACCTGCTTTCTCTGGCTGTGTTCTCCAAGTTATTGCTGCTGTGACAGCAAGATGTCCCTTGTGTCCTGGTTCTGGGGTCAGGAATGTACTAAGAGCTGCCTCCAGTCCCTGATGTTCCATAAATTCGTGTTTCTTCCCATCCAGGACTGCTTAGGCACTCGAATGGGTGTTTTGGTTAATTATTGCCTGCTGCTCTTTCAGCACACTCCTGCCACTTGTGCCCTGGGCCCAGGGTCAGGAAGGACTCTTTTTTCTGGGAGTTTTTTGCTCATGGGATAGTTCATAGTTATCACAAGAAAATGGGATTTATTAGAAAAGGCAAAATCAGGCTTCTTCACCATGGGAAAAGGGGCTGAGCTCTGTGCTGTTCCTAAAAGAAATCAGCCAATACATAGCAAAGATGAGAAGGGAGAGCCCTCAGAGGAGAAAATGATCCCAGGCCTAAGGCAAGCTACAAGAGAGTCTGGGGAATTTGCAGGAATAATGCTGGTTATGCTCAGTCTGACTTGAGACCCTTCCTCATCCTATTCCCTCCCTTTCCATGTGGTGTGAAAGTTTTGGCCTTATCCAGTGAGGTAACCCTCCCCAAATTTCAGATCTCACCTGGGGATGCCATGTGCCCTTTCAAAGTTTGATTTCACTGATTCCAGGTGAAGCCCTCAGTGCTTTCCCATCTCTTTTTGGGATGTGAACGTTCAGCCCTTCTCAGTGCACAGGGCTGAAGAGGAAGGGAAATTCAGCTCCAGCCCTGGGTTTGGATCTGGGTTTTCTCCCTTTTCCCGGAGGCAGTGATCCACAGCAAGAAGTCAGAGTCCAGGAATAGCAGTTTGTCTCTCATAGAAACCATTTGATTGGCATCACTGAGCTGCAAAAAGACCTGGTGGGCTTGGTGACAGATTCTGATCGCCTGGAGACAGGTTTTTCTCTC